GATGAGGTCAGGTTTCTACAGCCCATACTTCATCGTACCCAAGAAAGGCAGTGGGTTACGACCAATCCTGGACCTGCGCGTGCTGAACCGGGCCCTTCACAAGCTCCCGTTCAGGGAGACGCAGAAACGCATCTTTCAATGCGTCCATCCTTTTGATTGGTTCGCAGCGATCGACCTCAGGGTCGACTGGGAAAAGAGCAAACTCTCCCCGGTCCAGAGGATCTCTTTTCTCGGCATGGAGCCGGACTCGGTCAACCTCTCGGCACGTCTCTCAGGAGAACGTGCACAGTCGATGCTGAACTGCCCGGGGTCCTTCTAGTGCAAGACGGCGGTTCCACTGAAATAGTTTCAGAGGCTCCTGGGGCATATGGCATCCGCAGCCGCTGTCACGCCGCTCGGGTTGCTTCATATTAGACCGCTTCAGCGTTGGCTTCACGACCGGGTCCCGAGATGGGCATGGCGACACGGCACTTACCGGGTTTCTGTTTCCCCGATCTGCCATCAGGCCCTCAGCCCGTGGACAGACCTTGCCTTTCTTCGGACAGGGGTGTCCCTTGGGCAAGTATTTAGGCATGTTGTTGTTGTGTCAACAGATGCCTCTGTCAGGGGCTGGGGTGCCATGTGCAATGGGAATGCAGTTGCGGGGCTCTGGTCGAGGCCCCGGCTGCAGTGGCATATCAACTGCCTCGAGTTGCAGGCAGTATGGCTGGCTCTGCGCCGCTTCAGATCGCTGCTACACGACAAGCACGTACTGGTCCGTACGGACAACACTGCGACCGTTGCGTACATCAACCACCAGGGCGGTCTACGCTCCCGTCGCATGTCGCAACTCGCCCGCCATCTCCTCCTCTGGAGTCAGAAGCATCTGAGGTCGCTCCGCGCCGTTCACATCCCAGGCGAGCTCAAGCGTGCAGCCGACGAGCTCTCACGTCAGCCCGCCCTTCCGGGAGAATGGCGACTCCACCCCGAGACAGTCCAGCTGATTTGGAGACGCTTTGGGGACGCTCAGGTAGACCTGTTTGCCTCCCCGGACACGTCCCATTGCCAGTGGTTTTACTCCCTGGCCGAGGGACCCCTCGGCACGGACGCACTGGCGTGCAGCTGCCCTCGGGGCCTACGCAAATATGCGTTTCCCCCAGTGAGCCTTCTCGCACAGACACTGTGCAAGGTCAGGGAGGACGAGGAGCAGGTCCTCTTGGTGGCGCCATACTGGCCCAGTCGGACTTGGTTCCCCGAACTGATGCTCCTCGCGACAGCCCCTCCTTGGCGAATTCCTCTGAGGAGGGATCTCCTTTCTCAGAGAGGGTGCACCCTCTGGCACCCGCGTCCGGACTTGTGGAATCTACACTTATGGTCCCTGGACGGGACGTGGAGGTTCTAGGTGGGCTAC